TTGGCTGCAGGGATCTGGCCTGGCCTGAGGATGCATAGAGTAAGGCATTGCTGTCCCATTTCTAATGCGGCCTTACTGCCTTCACACGCCTGTCGCAGAGGACAGTATGACTTCACCTCCAGACCGCCCCAGTAAAGGGACTCCCTGTTCTTCGTCGAGTTGCTCACCGTTGGTCTTCCTGACATGGCTGAACCTTTAGGAAATGCAGCACAGAAGCCCAACCACCAAGAAAAGGTAACAGAAGATGAATATGAGTCAATTTGATGAGACTCGTGAGGTAAATCCAAGCTCGGTGCAAGATTACTAACATGCACACGCCTTCAGGCAGGCAATGCAAACGAGCTCCGGCGACAAGTCTGTTCGCCGTCTGGAGTTCATCAAAACGGCTGCGTTACGCCTAGATGCCTACACTTTGTTGAGTAGTTCCAAAATATTGCGATGAAAGCTCATCACTGACTGAATTCCCTTATCCGTTCTCAGACATTCATTGCATCCAGTACCATCTAGAGGTCCATGAAGCCGGAAGTATGCAGTTAGAGATCTGCCAGTCATTCCTGAAATTCGTCATGTTCTACAAGGACTCGCGTCAACCGCCTGGTTCCTCCTGAAGCAGACCAGTTCCAACTGGCCTGATTGTCGGTCAATGCCGAAACAAAAAATCCAAAGATTTGCAGTCAAGTGCTATTTCAAATCCGCGTCTATAGTTCGACAAGGACAATCTTCATTCGCAATCTATCCTCCGGTCCCACTAGAGAAACGCTGGAAGATCTCAAAAATCCACGCGTTAAAATCGCTGCTGGTGAGAATCTTGTCGATTCAGAGCACGCGGAAGACGCCGTCTGTATCTTTGAAAACGAAGGTGAAACACACGCCCTTTGAATAAACTGGTCACCATCGTACCACCTCTCCGCATTCATCTTGCAAAGTCTTCTTTGGAACGTGCAGTCTCCGAAGGTGTCCCTTACAATTGAGGGAAAATCACTGGAGATTGTAGACAGTTGTAGTAGTTGAATTAGTTCTAACAACGAAGTCAGTGCAAATTATGGTCAGTAAATTCGCGCTTCAACGACTGAGTAATCTAGGCCATATTGTTGCATGGTTACGAGACAATCTCTGTGGACAGATGATATGAGATTTTAACGATCGATGGCTCAGAAGCGTTGCCGGTGTTGAATGGCGCCAACTGATTCGGGACGAGAAGGCACGGAGAACAACACTCGTCCAGATAGACGGTGTTTCGGCAAGCGGAGTACATAACCGAGTCAACGCAGTTGATGGTACTGTATGCTTTCTGCGATGAAAGTACCCGATGCGCAACCAAATATCCGTTTTCTAACTACCTCGTCGCTATTTCTTTGACACTACCTGACACCCGCAATGGTTCTGAGACACCGGTGGTAAAAAACTTCACATAATGTCCTCAGAGGCCAGATTTCGGAACCATTCAACAATACTGCCCATGATGCAGCCTGGTACATGCGACCATTAATTACCAGTGATATGTCGTTTTGGCACCACAAGTGACGCTAATTAACAAATATGATTCGGGCCTTTGAGATAGTCGAAGTGATTTCATTAGACACACTTCCGTCTGAGCTAACGGAACTACCGATGTGAGTTAAATTATCCACAACTTCCAGTGATTCTCCTTGAATTGTAAGGGATATGTTTTGAAGCAGACTTCGAACTGTGAAGACGCAAGGTGCGTTTAGAAAGATGGTAAGGTGGTGGTCAATTTATTCAGCAGGGCTTGCGCTTCTCCGTCTTCAAGGATTAGGACGTCGTCGTCCGTGTACTAGAGGTCGGCAAGGTAATTGCCCGCAGCAATTTGAGCACCGGTGCTTTGCATATTTTCCAGGGTTCAACTCATTATTTCATCTACGGCGAGGCTGAACAAGAACGGAGAGAGTAGACACCCTTCCAGGCCCCCACTTTATGTAGGGATTTCACCATCAATCACACGTTCAGAAATATGTGAATATAGGGACCGGATTATGTTCCCAAACATCTGGGGCATACCCCGCTGAGAAAGTGTAGATGACAGCACCGACCGATCGACAGAATCGAACTCACTCTTGAAGTCAAGGAGATCCCGCTGGACGCTAACAGATCAGATCAAAGTTCCACATGCCACCGCAGGATGAAAAATCGGCGATACCAGAAGCCCTGTTACAACGACAGTCAAGCTAACACCTCTGTGGTTGCTAAATTTACTGCCAATACCCTTCAGAAACTGGGCATTATTATCGACTTATCTCCGTTGGCTGAGACAGTCCCTTCTCTCAGATAAACCCAAACGGGTTAGACAGACACTGGAGTGAGATGGCTATGGCTAGAGCACAGATTTACTGACCGGAAGGTCCGTGGTTTGAATCCGACATCTGCACCTAGACTTCTCCTGTATAAGCTCGAGCAACCTGGCAGTATCCCAGTCCTCTTGCTTTCCTCGGATGGCATGCTAGCAAAGCACCAAGAGGGTGCTACAGCTGAACGATTAATTATTTATAGACAGGCATTGGCTGAGGAATCCATCGCCATCCATAAAGAAAGCAAGCGGAAACTCATCAGGAGCAGAGCGATGATGCTTGAGTAGAGATATACAATCGAATAATTCTGAGGTTTAAGGTGACTCCATGTTCGTAGTCCACATTTTTGTTGAAGGCCAGGATTCCGGAAGATAGGCGGTATGTGGCCAATAGGGTCGCTGTTCGATGTACCGTATCCACAGGACCAGACATTATATTTTGCTGAAAATCAGGAAGCCACTTTGGTTCCTGATAACTTCGCTGACAAGAGGCTTCCGAGGACCGGTCGGACGAATCAAATGGAACAGCTTGATGTGTCCAGCATTTTTTGCACCTCCCATTTCTTCGGCATTCGGGTCTACCAAGCTTCTTGGTCTGCACGGAGACTGTTTCACCTGGGGTCGGATGATGCGTCCGGTTGAGATGTGAATGTGGCCAGGAGGGATCCGTCGCCGCTCCACCGGCAAATCTACCCAATAATTGAATAAGGCTGGTTGGGTTGTGCCGAAAACAGACGTTCCGGGTTGGAGTAGCGCTTCGGATACCTGTTTTCAGTGGCCGTCAGGCAAGCTTTCGAGAATCCGGATCAAATAGGTTCGTTTGATTTCTGGGTCCATTTGCTTGTCATTGGTTAACCGGCGTGTGTGTAGACTATAAAATCGTAATCAAAAGCAGCAGTCCACAAGTGCATAGTCTGAGTCCATGCTGATGTTCCAGAAAGAGTGATAAGCGGTGAATGACTCTCGCAACGGACAACTGACGGCGACGTGATTCATTTGGATTCGTGGCTGGTCTGTCGATGGTCACCACGCCGTCAAGCGACTTCCGCTGCTCCGGAAATTTTACGGCGAAGGAACAGTTCGTGATCGGCACACAATTGGAGTAAGCGATCCCCGAAATTCGTACGTCTCGTGTTCAATCCAAGATAACCACCCAATCGAGCCTCTCCCTGATACGCTTGTCCATCAAGGAATGCCCCGGGAGTTTGTGAACATAATGAGTTCTTTGTATTCGCAGACGTCCCGACGTGTAAGACTATATGGAGAGCTCTCCAAAAGCCTCTGTACACACGGCAGTATCCTTCAAGGCTGCCCACTCTCTCTATTCCTATTTAATTTCGTGATCGTGGAGATATTGAGACGAACGCTGGAAGGTCTACAAAACTCCGGTGTTCAAATAGCTTTCGATGAAAAAAACTTATCGATCTGGAATATGCAGACAACATCGTTCTCGTCTTCGAAGAAGTGTTTCTCGATAAACTGACCAAAGTCATTTCGTCCTTTGAACCCACAAATCGTAAGGTCACGTTCCTGGGCATGCAGTCACTGAACACGCCACTGACAGTCATCATCATCACCATTAAAGACACCAACATCAGTGTTGACACTGATGCTTCACTGCCGCATCTTTCTCCAGTGGGGTGGCAGCTAGGACCCGGGTGTTACAGCTGAACGGTTTTATTTTCACTGCCGCTGGCAACCCAGAGAGAGGCAATGGAAGTTGTGGAGCGTCTTGCGTATCTTGGAAGTTGTGTTAGTTCTGATTGTAGTGTGACAGATGAGGTCACTGCACGAATCTGCAAGCCTCCGGTACCGTTTGCTCATTTGAGATACCTATGCCATCAAAGCGGTGTATCCCTGAGTCTCAAGGGACGTCTGTACCAGACTACAGTACGGGATGTTTTGTTGTGCGGCTGAGATTTGGTCTGTTCAAGCAGCGGAACTGACATCTTCAGGTTTTTGATAATCGTTGTCCCAGGGTTAGGCGAATCCGCAAAGAGGTAATTGAAAACTGAGTTTCCGGTTGTACAGTGGGAATTTCCATTGACAAATGTGTTCAACACCAGAAGCTGCATTAATTAAGACATGTATGAAGTACGCCAAGTCGCCGTTTGCCGAAGAGGGTGCTGTTTTAGGTGCCCGATTCATAGTGACGGCCAACCCTTGAACCTGCAGAGGGGTATGAAAGAGTTTACGAAATATTTGGATGCTCTCAGTACTACTCGCCTTCCAGGATGGAGACCACGTGACTCCGACTGCGCCTGGCTAGAGACGCTGCAGGATATGGTAGCTAATCGATGTCAGTGGCGTTCTTGTTGTCAGTTCCTATCCATATTGCCTCAATGAGTGTTTAGAGGTCCACGCACCTTGGAGTCACTGTAGTAAGCTCGCACTAATTCCCTTCCCTGTTCACCATTATTCTTTTCTACACAATAAGGCTTTCAAATAAATCACAATTTCGGCGGCGAAGCACCAGTGTTGAATACTGATGTCGTGCTGCCAATGATGATGATATTGATGAACGGCCTTAGAGGCATTTAGTCTACCTACCTGCGCATTCACGTAACTAGCAATAACAACTACGTCTGAGCTTTTAGTCCCTTGTGAAAGAACAGCCACATCGCCATAGAAAGTGCCTTTAGAAGATTCGGAAATACAGTCCGTTGGGTCAAAAGCATATACAAAACTCACTCACTCGAAATTTTCAGACACTACCAAGCGATCCGCACAGTCGCGATTATCAACGGGTATCCAATCAAGCAGACGCCGCTGTTCGATTGCTCGACGCAACACCCCACACGGCACATCCAGCTACAGCGGCCTGTTCATAAAGAGAAGTGCGCAGCCGGAACCTGGAAGACAGCGACTGGGCAATCAGTCAAACCACGGTACTTACATCCTGTATACATGTTTCTGACAGAGAACATGCATCAATACAGACGGAATCTAGCGTGCGAGCAACAGCCGACTTCAGTCCTGCCTCCTTTAGTGAGCGAAAAATAAAGAAAGCTGAATAAACCGGTTTTCGGGAGTAAAAAACATACTTCGAATTGTTTAGGGTTGTTAATGAAGTGGAACGTACAGGGTCCGCGGCTGTGTATGATGCACGGTGAAGAAAGCACTCAGCCTCAGTGCTGTGACCTGCGGAGAGAGTAATAAAGGTTGGGTGGGGTAAAGTGGAAGAGGAAAAACGTGAGTGTAAGAGAGGCGACAGCAGCAGTATGTTTCCGCTTACCCAATCTGCTGTATGCGGCAAGAAAGGTAACTCGGCTGATGGCACCACGCGAAGGATGATGTGGCATAGTGTGCTGGGATACTGCCAAGGCGCCCAGACTAATACAGGACGACTGGGGTCCTCGGTTAAAGCCCTTGGCTAGGAAAGCCTGGCAGCAAGGCAGCAGTGTTTGACGGAAAATGCAAGTGCATTACCATTTCTATCGAACAAGTCGCCACATATGTTACGATCTCCAACTTTGAGGGCTAGGACACTGTGTTGGCCAGACCTCTAACCATTTACCAACCAGGCAGGAAAGACTCTGTGAGTGTCTCACATACACTGCCCAGTATAGCTCAATGAGTGACAGTGACAAACAATCACACCACGGTAAGTTCACCTGTTGCATGTATCAGCTAAGACAGTCACGCAAATGCCCAAAGTTTCTTGCTCTCTCCATTCGATCAGGTTCTTGGACCAACCAAGCTTCTTGATCCGCGTAGATGATTCCTTATAATCGAAGTTTGACAGTTGGTCCAGTTGTAACTTACAATCGACTAGGAGAAATAGATGTCATCATCATCATTGACAACATTACATCAGTGTTCAACATCAATGCTTCACTGCCGTACAAACATGATTTATTTGAAAGATTTATTGTGAAGAAAGGAATAAAGGTGGACGGGGAAGGGACTTGGTGCCAGCTTATTACAATCGTTCCGAGGTGGATACACCTCCAGACATTCACTCAGGCAACGTGACAACAAGAGCGCCGCCGACATCGTTTAGCAGTCGCTCTCCGGACGGTTTTGCATGTTTCATGAGACTCAGTGCGCAAACCAAGTTGGTCGTGCCGATCCACAAGCTCAACGCGAGGCATCTCAAAGGGTCCCGGGAAGCAGCTTCCACTGAGAGCCAACAGCGGAAGGCTTCTTGTCCGACGGGGACCTCAACAAGTGGCTCTGATTGGCTTGTTTCACATCAAGGTCCGACAGCTTCTCAAAGATCCGGTGAGATGCCAGCAGCTTGCGCGCTCCTGATAAATGCAAAGGGGGCAGCAACAGACATGACTCAGTCGCGCGCTCAATGGTGCTCGTGTACCCAAGCTGCTGCCTTCAAAGCACAGCATTTCACCCAATCTCCCCAATAAAAGTCCACAGACGACCCTATATCTACGCATCCGTTATATGAGCTACCGCTTCCAATGCGCGGCTACCTATACCATCAGTTCGAGTCGCCGGTGAGCAAAACTGTGGCAGCCGGAAGCACTGTAAGGCAAGTATGTGGGTCTTACAGCTGATGATGATTATGAAATTTTTAAGGAGCGAGTCGTCACGCGTGTTCCAGCATCCAAACTGAAAGACTAGTAGACTGATAGTCAAACCGCTACCTATTGACGAAACCGGTATGAGAAACCCTGTGATTTTCACAAGTGCACTATCAGCTGCACACATGTAGTTCGGTGGGTAACGGTGTGAAAAAACAGACATGCTGTTGTAAGGACCGGATACTTCGTCTCCCATATCTGGACATAGGGCTATCACTTTGTCGTGGTTGTCAGGCCTGAGTGCTGCCACCGCCGTGGACCTAACTTGTGGGAATTCAGCTCAGTATGGTTCAAACATGCTGAGAATTTTAATGAAAGCAGTTCGGCAAGAAGCAACGGGTATCCGTGCGGCAATTCAGAGGTAAAGTCGTACAGTCCATTGCGCGAGAGGTGTGATTAACGTGAAGTGTTTCTCCCAGGTGACCAGCTTTCCCAAAAATATCCCGTTAAGATGGTCAACACTTTAGAAAACAAATCAGCACGGTGGTATAAGGATGAATTTTGGAACGACTATGAAATGTGAGAGCTATGCGCATGGCTTTCAAAACCATCCGTCCAGTTACCAGTACAACCCGGTGAACGCTGAATATGGTCACGACCAGCAGCTCTTGAGGCCAGAAAAAAATGTAACAGAAACAAAAAACGAAGACGATAGCAGGGCAGATCCGTAGAAATACCGAATAAAAAGAGCCAATGAGTGACGGAAAACACGTGGATAGCGAGGGTCCGGGGGAGAGAAGCCTCCTTAGCGGGAAAAGACAAGGTCGTAATTTGGAAAAGGGCGAAAATCCACGAGAATACAGCCCATGTGTATTCACAGAGGTGTTTTCTTGAATAGTGAACTGGATACTTTAAAGGACAGTTCCGGGGCAGCAGGGCTCAGTGGCTAGAGCGCAAATTTACTGACGAGAACGTCCGTGGTTCGAACAGACCTCTGCATCGCGACTTACCCTGTCTACGCTTTGGCAACCTGGCAGTATCCCAGTCATCGGGCTTCCTTCCGGTGGCATGACGGTCAGGCATCAAAAGGGGCTACAGCTGGATATCCTTTTTATCTGGCTCCATTTGAGGATCCCATGAATCTGAATGGAGCCTCAACTTTAGGTCTCCATCGGCTACAGAAATTCAGCTCAGATTTTGATTGCTTTAACGCAAAACAGCACCTGGTCTGTAGGGTTAACCCATCACAACTAGCCTAACAACCCTATTGTCAAAGATCACATACAAACAACACACATACAGTGCTTCGGTGGCTTTGGCGTTCAAACATGGTGCAAATGCCACCATGGCCTCACTAGTGTCCTGTGCCCTTATCCAGTGCAGCTGTTATCCAATCCATACAGAGGCAAGCAAATAGCCGTCTATATTTTCAGGCCAGTAGTACAGCATCTCAAACTCCTCAAAAGTGCAAACTAAGCGATTCTGATGCACGTCTGGGCGTGAATTTCATGCCTACATAATGAAAAGTAAAAGACGGCTGGGTAGGGTCAAATTCAAAACTCGTGCCCATTAGCCGCACCATGCTCTTAGCTGCAGAAGGTTCACGAGTAGAATGAAACATCTAACGCCAAAATGTTGCATTTTGTTGTGTATGTGATCACAACAAAAGCCATCCTAATCTACATTCATATTTTCTCAGCTCACAGAATTTCATTGTCCAGTGGAACAATCATACCTCCGGCGGAGGAGGTCTGGTGGAATACTTTCTTATCATCGCTAATACCCCGGGATGCCTAGATGGGGCTAAAAAGTTTGGGCTCATACTCTGAACCCAATTGCCTGTCTCTTTTAGACAAACAGGGACACGTTGTAGCTTTCTGAAAATCCAATGCCATTGGGCGAATACTGAGGCCATGTGGAAGCGAGAAGTATCGTGGGTAAATTCCCCGTTTCAGCAACCGCTGTGAACTGTCGTAAAAAGGATACTACACCCAATAGACCAGCTTCGCACGTGATTGGTCAATCTGTAGTTCGAGCGAGCTTCTTCGAATCAGTGCGAGTTCGGATTGGTCAAAAACACAGTTCAATCAATTCTGTCCAAAGTAGTTCGGTGCGGCCCCGTGTTTGCGGAAACTCAGTGCTAGTAGTACGATGAACAGAAAACCCAGTGTGCGGCATTGTCTAGCCGAGCTATACGGTGAGACATGTCGGCTTCTGACGAGGAGTATCTGACGAAAGAAGCGAAAGTTGTGGCAGCTTTGCAAATATGGAGATGGCACATGACATCGGAGCCGAGTACAAGCCTAGCTGGCTGCATATGAGCCCCATGTTGTCGGACGCTTTGCACAGAATTGTCCTAGGCAAACCAAACAGTGTAGGTACACGAGCAAGTTGCCTGCTGCCGTCAAAGGCCTGCATGCCTTGGTGCTCTGTGCCGATATCATGTGTGATCAGGAAATGTAGAGCATGCAGATGCACACTACATATTGTCTGCTTTTAGAGGAGACAAATTTGTTCGCCTTGTGTATTTCATCGACATGTACGGCATCCGGAAAAGGAATAAACAAGGCCGCATTTTGCGACGAGCCACATGAGGCTGAAATGGCCTTCCCCAGACAGCAACACATGTGCCTGTACGGGCTTAAGAAGCTCCACCAACACCGAAGATATGTAATCTGCCACAAGGAAACAGATATCGTCAGCACTTTTGGCAATAGTCGTGAATTTCATAAGCAATGCAGCTTTAACGAATCCCTCGGCTGGAAACGGCCATAATTCAAATGGCCACTCCATATTCCAACAGGGCACTGAGGGCACCCAACTTCCATTCGTTTGCCGTCGGTTTATGCACGGTTAGTCGCACAAGAATTACTTATTTTGTATTTAGAACAAAAATGATGGGGGGTTGTTGTTATACGGTTTTCGTGGATCGTGAACGCAATCGGTGCATCTTCCCAACTGCTGAAATGGACTAAAAACCGAGACTTACTTAAGATGCCCTATAGAGCCTTCACGAAAACCTTGCTGACCCTTGAACTGAAATTTTAACTTTTTCTTAAACCGTAGTTAACAAAGGGAAACGGGGGGTTGTTGTTATACGGTTTTCGTGGATCGTGAACGCAATCGGTGCATCTTCCCAACTGCTGAAATGGACTAAAAACCGAGACTTACTTAAGATGCCCTATAGAGCCTTCACGAAAACCTTGCTGACCCTTGAACTGAAATTTTAACTTTTTCTTAAACCGTAGTTTAACAAAGGAAACTTTAACAGAATGTTTCATCATTCGGTAGTACCTATTCAATTCCTTTAAATCACCCTATGTGGAACAAATTTTCATCTCTACAGGTATATTGATAGTTTGAAAGTGCCATTTAAAGAATTTGTAGGAGGGAACAAGCATGAAGTACAATAGGATAGATGGTGCTTCGAACATCTGGCACAAATTCAACGGACAAGGGTGCTCTTGTGAGTGTACATAACGCGTTCGTCCGAGAAATGTGAAGCGCATGGTGAACTATAAGCAAGTCATCAGAGGGGGTATGACTATTGCGGTGCCCTCATCGTGACGTCATACATCGATTTGCGGACAGCCACGCACACAAAGATTTCAAGTGAGCCACTCGGTGCTCTGGTAGTCAGGATTGTCCAGGAATCTTGACAAATGAAGCCCGATATGGGTCATGTATATTCTTGGGTCTGTCGAAGACGCACGTAGCTCTGTTGACCACCCTGTTTGCACTGGTGAACAAAATAAGAAAATTGTTCAAGTTGTATGCTAAAGGGAACTATGGCATGAGCTATGGCGCGGCCCAAAATATCAAGCAGACGAAACTGATCAAAATTTCTAGCTATTGCAGTGAAACGACACTGAACGATTTCAAAATCAGTAGTCAATCTTCAAGTGTAGGTAAGAGATATGTGGTCGATGCGATTGGACGTGGACACGTGATTATAGGGACTCAGCTAAAGTGGCTCCGAGTGTGCACGGACAAGAAACCTTAGTGAAACGCGAGATGCCCGGTGGTGTTGTACGATGGTGTGAACCCAGTATTGCGTTTTTGTAGCACGCGGCTCTTGGACCCTTGGGTACACTTCTGTACCACCTGATATCACAAGTGAGTGGTATACGCTCCTCTTTATCTTGGACGTCGCTTCGTCCAACAGTGTGTGTGATCACTGAATCCCACCATCGACTCATCGGTTTACCCACGACTACCTCGTCATCATTAATGGGACTAAATGAACAAGTAGCAAGCTAACATTTAACGGTGGGACCTCAGGTTCAGTATGGACACTGATCAGGATTTGTGGTGAGCAGGCCACTACAGCTTCGTGTAATTTAGTTTTCATATATGTTGCTGAAGATGTACACGAGTTTAAATTGGCTATGCAGTTCTTGTAAAACTCCTTTGGAGTGAGAGTGGCCCCCCTGAAACGAGAACTGGTTTGGCCCATATTAGGTTGTGCAGATGCAAGCAACTAATAACAACGTAGTTTGCCAAGGTTGGTTGTGTTTTTAGACATGGACTTGGCAGACGGACGACATGTATGCATATGACGAACCATGGTTGCTCTTTTGATTAGCCTGTCATGTGTAGTTAATGCCTCACAACCAGCCGCGTGCATGTGTATCGGCCCGGCTGTTATCATAAGTAGCCAGGGTGCACGGTATCTCACATGGTAATTAATTTGAAGGGCAGTCTTTAGCCCTTGGATTGAGCTTTCACTTCTTAAGCCTCATAATCAGCGTCTCACATAGACAAGAGATCGTTTAATGTCTAGGATCAAAATAATGAGAGGTGATTGTAGACGTTTTTCGTGTGTTGTGACAAATCATAGAGCTGAAGCGGTGCTTTAGGCGCAAAATTATCACACTCTCATCGCTCATAAAACTCATCGTTCATAAAGTTTTTATCAAATAAACTTTGGCGCAGTTATAACTGGCAAATTGGCCTTATCTAAACTGCGGGAAATATGTACATACCTTAAACTTGGATGACCAAAATGGAAAAGAAGATGTTACGTGTTTAGACTTCTCACTCCAGCAGGAAAAACAAACTCACGATGCATTCATTCCTCTTTACCCAATTTTCTGCCACTCGCGTGAACTGCTAAAACTTTTACCCAGTTCACGTCAAACCACTCCTTGCATGCCACAATCAAGTTGTCTGCTCAAGAGGAAAGAAGTAACGAAATTCACTGAACATGCCAAATGATATAATACCAATAAATGTCGTCGACCCCAGACCAATTGGTTGCAAAACACTTAAAATTATCTTTGGAAAATTTTCCTATGGTTGCCGTTATTTACGGTGGAAGGAATTTCTGTCTGAACAAACGCTGGCTGACAGGCTCTTTTAACGCTGACCGCACCAATACACGACGGCGAAATGGTAATTCGTTCAAAGCTAAGAGGATCAAATTTGTTTAAAAATTTATTTACTTCGGGGACCTTCCTTGTGGTACAACTTTTCTCTTACGGCTGCCCTTGTCACTTACTACTTAACTCTCAGAAGGTGAGAATGGGTGCTGCAAATGTTTTACCTTGTACCGATTAGATAAATAAATTCGATTGCACAGCGAGAATCAGCCCCACGTGGGAAAGTTATGCCATTCGGCCTATGAATCCATAACCATTCTAATTATTGTCTTCCGTGTAATCAGCAAAGCGACCGGTGCCACAAATGGCTGTCGGTTTGTGTATCCCCTCAAACGTTTGAGAAGATTTATTGAGTAATGAAATGAAGTATTTTAAAATACGGTACTGTACGTTTCCGGTATTAAACCATTTGGAATTTTGGTACAGCCCGAGAGCTCAACCACGCCGACCGCAATGAGGGATGCAGAAAAGCTGCCTGCTACTTTCCAAAAAACCGGAAGGATGATAAAATAAGATTTATGGAGGTTGAAAAAAATATACACAATCCTCCAGGATACAATCCTTCTGTAGACATACATTTTGAACTCCTCCCAAATTTCTCTGCAAGCATAGATTTAACAAAGGGATCTTGAACCCAAGGATTCAGCGTTTGGCGGTAGTTAATCAAAAGCCCAAACCCCCGTCAAAGT